TCCACAAAACTGCAAGAGACACCTCCAGTATAAAAAATATATTTGCGAATGAATTTTAGTATGCGGTTACAAAAATTAGAAAAGTTTTTTTTTCTACAACAAATTTCATAGTTGTATGCAGTATGGTCCTGTAATAATCCTGTCCAGTCCTGCTTATAAAATCGAATATTCTTATTTTACTTTTTAGTTTTAGTATTAGTAGAATCAAAGAAATTAGAAGACAAGTGTATTGTGTAATAGTGAATTGCGCCTAATTATGAACTGTGTCAGTAAAACAGAAATTACATAATTTGAAAATTAGAACTTTTAAGACTAATACCTATTTATACATGTACTCAATTTGATTCGCAGTTCACTAGTGGGATCATAAAGTGGTAGTAAATGGGAGATGCTATGTACATTGTTTTAGAGTTCTTTTATTTATTTATCCGGTGATTCATAGATCTGTAAGTGTTCATGGGCATATAAAAAATATATTATCCCCAATCTGAATCAGAGAAAAAAAGAGAAAAAAAAAATGATTTAGACATGCACCTAGGCTGTATTTAATAGTTGTAATTAGTAGATTAACCTTAGAAAATACTATTTTTATTATATGCGGCCGTTGTTAAACAATTGTTTAAATTATACACATTGACCGTGATGTATCCTTGCAGTTAGCCGAAGGTTCAAACACCTTACAATGTCTGTATGTAAACTAACGTTGATTTACATACAAAAACAATTAGAACAGTACTAACACGACCCTGTTACTATAATGCATTTGTTACGCAGTACCAGTGATGTCAATGCGTGACTGGCTTCCGTCGCTGCCATACTTTTTCACTAAGTTTACACTGACAGACTCTTTTCTGCATGGAAAAGCCAGTGGGAAGGTAGGCATGTCATTAATTGAATTTGATATAAAAAAATATACAGTATTTACAATTTTCATGTTATAAAGCATTTAGCATGCAATTTAGCAACAGCAATTAGCATGATATTAAACGTATAATATTATTAAATTTTTCTGTATAATATTAGAAAAACAATTACTTACCTTAAAATATAATTAAATATATTATTAAAAGGAGTCCCTTTAGGCAAGGTTCCGAAGGTACTGGCAGCGTTCCCCTTTTGAATAGCTAGACTAAATCTTTGTCCGAGGTAGCTGCCAGCTCTTCGGTCTCCTGTGATGTCGACTAACTATTTTGATATTTCCTTAAAAAGCCTTATAGCGCTAGGACCTCACGGACCAAGGGTCTCGAGACCGAATGGGACAAAGTCATATTCGGAGACTAGACCCCCGTATTTGCATGCTTTAGCTTTTTCAGCCGCTTCTTTTTCTTTTTTTCTTTTGCTTTAATCTATTTATGTTGTTGGTATATTAATAAAAATTATGTTATATAATATGCTTGTTAAGTAGCTTCGTCTCCAAGTCTCATTTTGACGGAATTAAGGGGGTCCTATTTTCAACTTAATTTTAGGGCTAATTCAATTTGAGATTTGAGCCAGTCTTAAGGTAAAATGTATCATAAATAGTTAATACTTAAGGTATTACAGAGCGTTAATCTAGGATTCTGTCTAATGTTTTAAGTAATCTATTCTTTTCCCGCATTATAAATGATAACGTAGTAATAAATATGTAAGCAAAAACTCTTTAAACAATTAACAATGTGGATCAAGGTAATGCCAAAAAATTGTCAATGTAAAGAGTATTAAAGCGATAAGGTTTTTATAAAATGATAAACAGTGCGTATAACCGTTTGACTTATGAGTCGAGTACAGTACGAGTTGGGTACGCTTAAAAGTGTTATTTTTTAAGCATTTTGATTACAATAAAAATGGAGTGACAACACCAATATACTAGTAGACATTTTAGTACAAAAAAGTAAAGTATGTGCAGCCTCCATGGTTTAGTTCGTCAAGGCAATTATTCAATGACAACCCGGAGGTCCACGTTTCATTTCCAGAGGTCACCCAGAAAATCTTTGCTTTGTGTCTAGCTAGTCCCACATCTATCTTTAGAAGCATTCGTCCGAAAATTAGTTTTAAGTAGTACTTACTAGCCAGAATGCATCCTGTAATCTAATGTAAATAAATTATTTTGAATAACAGAAAACCGACCTGCTCTATTAACAAACTTAAAAGTGAACCCTCGACGGAATTTAATAATAATATTATTTTTGTAATAGGTAAGTAAATTAATTTGTACTTTTTTAAATAGCGAAGTAAGACTGAGTAATATGTCTGTTACAAGGAGATTGAATTTTTTTTTGCTTATAGAACGTATATTATTTTCAAGTTATTATCGTTTGTAACAGCGACCATCTTAGCGCATGCGGGCAGAGCTCTATCAGATGAAGGATGATATGGACAGTTTTAATAATAGTTTATTTCGTTTTCGGTAAATGGTTCAGCCCCAATTTATCAGATTAGATATATTTGTTAATTAACATGTAGCTATTCAAACCTCGCCTGCTATTGCTCAGTTGGGAACACACACGTTATTAATATTTTAAATTTAGATTATCTTTTGTAGTTGATTCGTGTAAATTACCTGTAAATAACCTTAGCAAACGTGAATTAAATAGGTGTTATTTAGAACGGCATGTTGTGGGTACGGGTATTGTAACCGTTCATCTGTAACTGCAATTTTTTGTGAATAAGAATTGTGCGGGTTTTCTTTAATTGCACGTATTTACATTACATGAGTATAATTTGCCAAGGTAGCTGTGCTGTATTTGATACCCAAAATAAACATATTTGTAATCTAAAAACGGCTCTTATAGATCTGCTTATCTTATTAATTTTTAGATAGATACGTATTATGATTAACTTGACTTAATGTCTTATGAACCCAGGATGGGGCCAGAGGGCGTCTACGGTGAGTCTCTATCGCGTTCGGTCTTAAGCTTCGCATTTTACCTGGCTAGAAGATTTTCTGGCTATCTTTGCCTCATCTGCAACTGAACGTCGCCAGGTTGAAACGGCCATGCTTCCGGGTTCCTAATAAGCCTAGCGTCTTTTTGAGGAAGTGATTAGAATCTCTTCGGAGTGAAAGGCCTATCCAGTTCGACTTGCGTCACTACGTATAGATTTGCTGGCTAATCTGGTCGGGGTTTGTAAGCAGCGCAAAAGTTGCTCGTTGGAGTTCTTCTCAGATTAGTAGATACCCAGAATACGGCGGAGACAGCGGTTGACGAAGAGTTGAAGCCGGTGCGAGATATTGTAAGTGATTTATATAAAAGATAAACTGTTAATACGTTTATACGTTAAGATAAATCAAATCTATTTTATGCGTTCAAGTTTAGCTCTTCCAGCGATTCTCTGAGGTGCTCACAAATCTAGCAGTCTGGTAGGTAGAATCCTTAGATTTTATTCTATAAACTAAAATATTGCGAATTTAACAGATGCAAGAAACGTCAAACGCGTGGTTAGATTCCGACAGAGGCCTGAGTTTGCCTTCTACCGTAAACTTTCAAAGGACCTGGGATCCTCTTTGTAAATTTGAATTCCAAAACTATTCCCTGAGTCACCTCGAATTGCCATCAGCCTTCGCTTAAGGGTGCCCATAAGTACCCCTATAATAAGTGTACCTATTCAATATTATAAATAATCTAAGGCTTTGACAGAAGTAGCCTTGGACACCATGGCCTCAAAAAGAGTGCAGGTCGTTTTTCTCGCCACGGCTTAAAGGCATCATACGCCACTCTCTTGCCTCGCATCGTTACAGACGATGACAAGTGGACGGATGCGAGGTTTTTGATCCCTTGGTTGATGGGACGGGTTTTGGTATGGGCGCTACTCCCCGTCTCACGGACGAACACATAAGCTGCCGCGGCCGCAGACCAGGCGCAAACGATAAATGATAAATCGATTTTGTTCCCCTTTTCTCTCTTGGGCCTTGGGCCTGAAGTGCATAGGCGCTAATTAAAGATTTTACTTAACGACTAGTAAATAGTACCGATGACCTCCTCACCATCCTCACTAAAAAAAATAAGTATCGCAACACAGCGAGCAACATTTGCCAGTTTTAAAGGTACACTGCCTCAGGGACAAAACTTTTTAAATTTGTTTTAATATTTATCTATTTTTATTATTATTATTACTACGTAGCTTAAGATTATTGTAATTAAATTAAATTATCATAATATAATTATAATTATGTGATTGTGTACTTCCTTCAATATTTTTTGCGATGGTTATTTTTCGTGCCGCATTAATTTAAGAAAAAAGAACATGTCACGTGTCGTCGCTATGACTTTTTAAAAGGCGTTTGATATTAAGTTTTGCCTTTGACACTTAATATCAAACGCAACACAAATCATAAAATATAAATTAGAATAATGCCATTGTTTTTGCCGTTTTAGCAAATGTACTCATTCGTATATTTCTGTCAAAGTGTGCTGTAACATCCATTAGAGATATGTATATTGAGTTTCCGACTACAATAACATCAGAGGATTGTGAGAGAACTACCTCGAACTTCCATATAAAAACGTCGGATTCGCTTTTGGAAGTTAGTCGTTAGGGTTTAGTTTAATAAAAATTGTGTAATTGGACTTGCAATAAGTTTTGATAAATAACAATACCTATTTAGTCCTAGGTAGGTAAGTTATGCAGAGTTATTGGATCGAACATTTAACACAGAAGTGCACAAACTTATGACAAAAATGCGTTACGCAAAAGTATACGTTTAATATAATTCACAGTGACGCGAGATTCTAGTATTTATATACATCTAAAGAAGAAATAATTATTCAAGTAGAATTAATAATTACTTTATAATTAACTGCTGCTATATAAATGTAAAATGAATAAATTATTTTAAAATTATTATATATATGGTTGACTTTTTTTGTATTCCTTTTAAATCATTGGTGATACTTTAAATAAGCCAAATTCATTACTAATGTCTAAGTATGTCACTCAAATAATGAATTTTTTTATTGGAATTTTTATTTTTATGAATAAATTTACTTAAAAACATAACTTTTATTAAAAAATATTATATAATTTCAGGGACGAATCCCATCGATTCCTTTTCCATATGGTGACTTCGAATTAGTTCTTAAAAAGAAGTCCCCTTTTGCTCTGAAAAAAAAAGATGAAAAAAAAATATGTGTATAAATATTCTAGTAAAATATGCTATAAAATCTAGCAGTGTTGGTTAGAGCTGTTAGGTCACTGTTGAGCTGTCAGTGAGTGTCAGAGCTGAGCTGTGTATTTTGCCGTCATAAAGTAAGGCCTTATACTCAATAAAGTATAAGGGCTGTAAATATAGTTTTTATGTATAATCTCAGTTTTATATAGAATTTCATTTTTAGCTTTAGTAAAGAAAATTGTATAACTAACTGGCTATTGTAAGTTATCCCGAGGTATAAAATATCGCTCTTATTAAAATCGCCCTTGCTCCAATCAAGACAACTCTCCGCTGACACAGTTGGTAATGATGTAGGATAATTCACAGATTCGGCAAAATATATGGGTGATAGTAAATGGTTGCAGGTGTCTGAAATGCAATTTTATCTTATAAATTACAAATATTTTTAGTTAGGCTTTATAAAATACATGTTTTTCAGTGTGCAAAAATAGTAAACTAATTGATGCATTAATTGTATTATTTCATACCTTTTGATTCTGAACAGCCAGGTTGATATTCCAAATCACAATTAGCCCATATATCAACATCTCCGATACTGTCCAACGTTCCCAATCGTTGTGGATTTGTGTGTAATACATCTACAAAAAAGGCGTCAGTCTTTTCTAGGCCGCGAACTAAATTAATGGGATCTGTGAACAGTGGTCCTGCTGGGTCCAAGCCCGTGATTCTACGATTTAAAGAAAAAGAATATTCTAATTAATTAATTAAGCTAAAAGAAAAAATACGTAGCAGTAAGTATATACTACCTTAGTAGCTGCGTTCCCTTTTGTTGTGTTCGTTTTCCAGCATGTCCCACGAGATGAGCCCCAAGGGAATGTCCTATCAAATGCACTTTATCCAAATCAAGACCATGCTCTGACAATTCCATAAGTGCATCTCCTAATAGACGTCCAATCTACGATATGAAAAAAGATTATAAGATTTATATAATTTAAGATTTATAGTTATTATATCGCGGATATCATTTTGAAAATGTCACCTTCTTGGCGTTATGTATTCCCGTTGTTGGATATTGAATAAGAGGTCCGAGAATATCACTGGCTGCTTCTTTCTCCCACTCGAGTAGAATAAAGTTAATTGGATTATCCTTTTTGTACTCTTTGTAGGCGTCTACTACTGCTAATGTTTCCTTCCCATTTACTTTGCCATTAAATCCAAATGTAAATATAACGGTTCTAAGGTTTACATTGAATGGAGAATCGAGCAAACCTAAAGGTGATGTTAGCGGTATAATTGTGTGATAGTCTTCGCTGAAATAATTAAAAACTATTTAAGTCATTGTTACTGAAGCGTTTATAAAATATTCGGCTTCGAAAAGGTAAAACTTTTCGAAGACAAAAAGATAATAGTTTAAATTTGAAAAAGAAGAAGTAGTAGTAGTTGTTTTAAAATAAATAAATTAAATACTTTACTAATAAAATTATAATAACCTTCCATAACACCATAACGAAGCGGCTTCAATTTGATACAACACTGAAAAACAAAAATCTCTTAAAAACTAACAAGCTAATTAATTAATTATTTTACTAATATTTTGACCAACTTACTAAGAAAGATTCCAAAAACAATGAATTTCATTTTAAATATAACAATAAATTAAATGTTGTATTGTCGTTTAATTACTTCATGTAACAAAATTAGAACTAATCGTGTTTCATGCTTTGTATTTCTTATATAACATTGAGTAGGGGTTTTGTATATGTTTTATAATATGATGTCATAGTTAATAAGGCATGATGTTAATTATTTGGCTTATTTATTAATATATTATTTAAATTATCGTCTACTTTTAACAATACCAACCACAAATCTTTTTTATTCCGTTCCATTGGTATTACAATATTCTTAACTTACATAGTAACAATAATAATTAATAATGTATAAATAGAAAACTAAAACAAATTTAAAAAGTTTGGTCATTGTGGCAGTGTACCTTTAATAGTGGCATTTCCTTGCTGTAATGCGATACATCTTCATTAATATAGTGGTGTTATAAAGTGTATAATTTATCTTAATTCGTTGATAATCATAAATGTGGGGACATTAATGACCAACAACGAATGATATAAGAATAAGGAGAATATTAAGATTATAATGTCGTGTTGAGAATTAAACTCAACTGTCCTTAAGAAAGTAATTTATTGTTATTTTTGTAGGGCTTTGGTGTGAGCTACTACCGGGATCCACAGGTAGCGGATAGTGGATCGACCGTAAGATATTGCGGTTAGCTGCTTCATGCAGTCCCCGACCACACACCGGCAGTGTTAGAGGGTGTAGTGGGGAGCCCTTAGGAAAGGCTCTTACAGGAAATACTACAAAGATTCAGTGAAAACGTTGCGACATAGCGAGTCAATGCCGCCAGTAAATAAGCATTATCATTCAACTACGGGCAGATGCGTAGGTGGTACACTGAACGAGAGGGAGCTTAGTAAGCCTGTACAGTCGCCAGTCATATTGTTGGCAACACCGGCAAACAGCGATGTGTAAGGCAACGGAAAACCTCCACATAATTTTTTCCCAGGATATCATTATGGCTGAGACAAACATAACTATGGCCCTTAGTCCCCGGCAGACCTTAAGTGGTCAGAGGGTGCGAAGAATCTCCGGGTCAGCCATGAAGATAGCAACTTGGAACGTCCGCAGTTTATACAAAGATGGAAAATTGGATAATCTTTTACAGGAAATGAATAGAATGGATTTGGATATACCGGCAAAAGTCACTTAAGATGGTATGGATATGGGACTGTAACATCTGGTGATACTATAATATACTACTCTGATAGCAGCGACATGCAACATCATAGATATGGAGTTGCCGTGCTTATTAAGAAAAATATAGAAACTCTAGGTAAGAACTTTCTTCCTCTTTCAGACCGAGTAATGTTATTACAACTAGAAGCATTGACATCAAAATCGTTCAAGTATATGCCCCGATAGCAGACAAAAGTGAGGAATTGAACGAGACTTTCTACAACGACTTAAGGTGCGCTTACACGGGCAATTAAAATTGCTCAATTCCAGTCAATACTCGTCAATTATGACGTCACGACTACATCAAGCAATTTACGGCAACGGCAACAAGCATCAATACTGCGCAATACAATATTGAGCGATATGGCGCAACTTCATCAACTAGACAATACTGTCCTACACGAGCATTTCAGTATTCGCTCGCTATGGACGACATTCTTCTTGCTGCGGCGGCTTGTAGCGCTTTTTTTATTATTAATCATAAACAAAAAAGAAAGAAAAGGAAAAGGCGTCTGGTGCGTCAAATCTGGGTGCGATCGTTTTTGGCAAAGAGGCCGCAATTTTCATTGTGAAAATAAAATTAAACAATTAAAGAAAAAAATAATTAATTAATTAAATTTTTAATTTATTATTTTTTTAATTTTTCTTTAATTCTTTAATTTAATTGCTTTTTTTTCAAGAATTAGATAATATATTATTCAAAAACTTTACTAGAATGTCACGAACATACTTTGAATTACTTTTGAATAAAGTAATTAGAAATTATTATTATTTAGACCTCTCGCTGTCCCCGCGGAAGCAAGACGGCAAGCCGCAAAACAAACAAGTGCGAATGAGACATATACAAAAATTGCTAGGAATTTCCAAGTCCATTGGATATTCGTCAATTCGTATCTGCGACATTGAGCGATATGAAATATCTGGAGCAATTAGAAGCAATATCGCCGAAATAATTTATTGAATTTATTGAAATTGCTCCATTAATTGCTCCAGATCGGTCCATTCGTATCGCCGAGCAATTATTGCCCTCGTGTAAGCGCACCATTATTGGAAGGGTTGGTCTCGGCGCTCGTAATGACAGGGGTGAAAGACTAGTACAATTCTGCCAGGAACACGATTTTGTTGTTGTACCACCACGTAGACTCTATACTTGGCAATCGCCAGCACATAAACTGGACAGGATTGTGCGAAACCAGATTGATTACTTGTTGATAAACAAAAGGCATAGAAATAGCATTAAATCGGCTAAAATATACCCTGGTGCAGATATAGGTTCTGACCACAATCTAGTCGTGGCGATAATCTCAATAAAATTGAAGAAAGTTTGCCGTCATCCTCAATCCAGAAAAAAATATTTTGACAAGTTGAGGGTCGTTAAGTCTCGGAAACATTACACATAACAATTAATAAAGAAATGCGGAAGTCATATAAGTCGGAAAAGAAAATACCTACTCGTTTTGGTTGCTTTTTCTATAATGCCCTATTCTATGATATTCAATCGAGCGAACATTCCCTCACCACACAGAATCTGGCCAACTTACAGATACAATAAAGAGGAGCCCTATTTTTTTAATTTATTTATTAGCTGGTTACAAGGTCCATTGGCACAGGAGCGCTATTATTTTATAAATGTTTCCATGTAAAAAAATATGTACGTAAAAATATTATTATTATTTAATATTAGATATATTTGAGTCAATAGCTTTAGGTTAATTAGCACTATATGTGACGTATTACTTTAGTTTTTGTCATATTGTATGTGTAATAAGTTACCCAAACAACCCAAGATATATTTTTGTTTGAAATATTAAATCCACTTATCTTTCAACTAACCCCTTCGCCGACTGGTGTCCAAGCAGGGTGTTTCTACAATTTAAAGATTTTTTTTATTCTAGTTAATAAAGCTTCCAAAGTCAAAACTCAAAATCATTTATTCATATAGGCAACTATGTACACTTATGAACGTCAAAAACAAAATATATACATATATATGAAATACTTCTAATTTTACATTTACTGCCAGTTCTCAAATCAAGGGCGTAGAATGGAAGATAGAGAACTGGCTATACTAAATGTATATATTAAAGATGAAATTCATAATTTTTATTGATTGAGATGAATTAAATAAATTTCCAAAAATGTGTTAATTCATACATATTTCACAACATCTGTACAATCAAAGATAAATTTTTTGCGCAATGTGGACAAGGCCTACCAAAAACCTTTCTTTTTATTAATACAATACATATAACAAAATTGGATAAAGCTATTCTTAGACTAGCACTTCCAATTAAATAATAACACGTTTTTACACCACAATAACACACTGGAGAAAAAAATAATTTTATAGGTGAAGACAACGAAAGTAAACGAGCAGTCTTATTACTAAAACTTTCTTCCAGACAATCCAAATATGAATAATATAAACAATAAAAAAATCAATACCGAACTAAAAACTACCCTAAACTAGATCGGAGAGAGAGACGATTATTAAAGCCAAGAAAATGGAGGTTATCCTTTACATATACAGGCCTTTTGGGATCGAAAACTATGAAATACATGAAAAATATGCCAGCTACGAAGCTGACGGATAGGCGAGTTCACTTTCTTACGGTATTCCGCGATATGAATAAATTTACGGTTTCCTTTCATAAAACGTATGCACAAACTCTGAATACGTTCAAGGACAGAAAGTAGGTAGATTTTCATTAAGTAAGTTTTCTGTTAGTAGTCTAAGATAAGTAAGGGAGTCTGTGCTAGTATAATTTTAGTAGGAATGGGAAGAAATTTTACTAACTGTAGAAATTTTCCTACAGCGGCCGTCGCAGCCCCAATTTTTTTACGTAACTCCCTTATTTGCACTGTCCAGGATAAGGTCTGCCTTGCGATTCTGTAACTCACTTTTGAACTCTCACAGCGGTTTGGGGTGGCCGGGGGGGGTTTTTAATTTTTGTGAAATTACGTTGCAAAATAACTTTTGTGGTGTGTATACGTATCTTATAGGATAGAAAAATACAGTCATGGTATGAAAACCCGGAAAGTCCACCAACTTGACAGGGGAAACAAGCATAAGATCAAGAAGCGATGGCGTCGAATTAGGGTAGTGGTGAGTGGTATTTAGCGTCAGTAGGAGAAGGGGGTATGAATCAACAATGCTTAAGAGCTTCATCGATCGTTGGTCACCTTTAAGCATACACGTATTGATCTCACATCAAGATAACGTGGTCCAAACATAGGATGTATTTGTCAAGAATTTTATTAAAAGAGAAGCAATAGACTAAGACATAGAACACCCCTAGCAAAACCTTAATATGGCCGAGGGAAACCTCAAGTAGAAGATGCTTCACCTCATCATCGGCTGAGGCGAGGAAGAGAGCCCTGCCATAGAAAGATTCGATCTAAGGTGTATGGCAACACCGCCACCAACTTTATATTTTATTTGGTTGTTTCTTATTAGTTAAAAACCAGGAAGGCAAGGATATTTTTTACCTATACAAATTTGAAATTCTTCTCTTTTGCGAGTTGACGGGGTTTGCTAAAGAGGATTTTACTTTTAGTATTATATGAAACGCAGTTACATCAAATAATTTTTCAGTCGTCAGCGATCGACGTGCTCGAGCCTTTAAGTACCTATCTATTCTCTTGGAGAATAATACCGTACGACGTAGTTAATTAACTTTTAAAATTAAAAAAAAAAATAACTCATTTAGAATGATAATATATTTTTTAAAACATATTATTGTCGTCATGGTGCGTCATATTGTAATTATTAATATATTTTTTAGTTTAAATTATATATTGTACATGTATTATGGGTTTGTTATGCGAGAACAAAGACTTATTGAAGGTCACATTTTTTTATTGTTAGGTACATAATTATAGGTAAATCACATATGTTACTTGACTTAGATAATAATATTGCTGTTGCATTTAGTTTTGAAAACGAGAATCTTATGAAATCAGAAAAAGTAAAAGTAAAGTACAAACCAAATTATATCTTTGATTTAATTAGCTTACATGTGTTAGTTATCGTTGACATTATCACATAATCTCGTTTCTCGTTTTTTCGTTGCCAAATAAGATATTTCTATTTCATCATAATTACTAGTTCTGCTCATCTGACAAGTTCAATACTAACAATTGTACTACCGGATCCTAAATAACAAATATTGTTCATGAGATACCTTAAGTATCTGAGTAAGTGATGCCTGAAATATTAGGTCCTTACATATGAAATTGGCGTATTTCGTACTGGCCACTTTAATCACGATGTTCTCCTCTTTGGTAGGGAATTCCAAATTCAAATTTGTACAGCTATTTACTCATGTATTTGTGCTTCGATGACCGTCATTCATTTGTTTTTTTCTTCTGTTTTTTTCTGTTTGCGTCACTCATTTTACAAAATGGAAAACTTAAAGTATCGCATTATTTACGAGTACGAGCTCCGCCGTGGCACTAGTGCTGCGGAAACGACTCGAAGGGTGAATGATGTGTATGGCGGTCATGTTGCAAAAGAAAACACAGTTCGTTTTTGGTTCCAACGTTTTCGTTCTGGAAATTTCGACCTGCAGAACAAGCCCCGTGGACGGCCTGAGACCCAAGTTGATAATGAAGTATTGAAGGCTATTGTGGAAGCGGATCCATCGCAAACATATTGAAATATTTAGTTTTATTTATTGTATTTGGGTTTAGGTCTTTGTTCCGGAAAAGCGAACAGTCTTTATGGGGTAACATAGCAAAATCTACCATATGTTGGTATGTAGCTGTCGTCATCTTTTTTATTTCTACCACATGATCACTCTATCGTATGAGTGGCCCAAGCATTAGCCAGCCAGTTTATTAAATGTTGTAACAAACGATACGTCTGAATATCTTTCAGGCCGCTATATAGTTAATAGTACGAGATCCCGCTGCAGGATTGGTGCGCTCATCGACTATTTGTTTAAAACCAAATTTTTATGTTTATTTATAATTAAGAGAATATATATTTACTAGGGTGCCTATCAAAATTTGGCCGCCATTATTTTTAATTAAATTATTTTTAATTGATTTTTGGTAAAAAATTTCGTTCATTTATTATTTAAATAAAATAACGTCTACATCACGGTAATTAATATGAAGATTCTAAAAAATCACGGGTGCCGTTGCGCACATGGCCGCACCTCTTTGCAGCCAGGTGTAAACAGGTATGATTTCGATAAATTTATACGTTTATAACCTATTTTTATTAATTATATGTCAAATTGAAGCTAATTTTTTTCTATTAATTATCATATAAAGTTGCTTAATTAAATCTGGCCGCAAATAAGGGCTACTGGCTGTTAAAGATAATAAATATTTAAGGTAGAGTGAAAGAGAGTTAGCGCGTAACATCATTTGTCAGACGAGGACAGCGATTGTCGGCTGTGCGACGCTTTTAAGCCATTGCGCATGCGTCGAACGTTAGTGTTCTCAACCACCGGGGAGTAATAGAGACGACTTATAATAAATACTCCAAAAAATATGTAATTTTTTTTCAAAATGACAAATTTAAAAATTGCAACAAATTCAGCCCAGAATGGCTGGCTGGTACTAGATGGTTTTTTAAAACCAACATGGTTCCTGGGAGACTCAACTCCAATGCAAGTTAATAGTGTGCTATGTGAATCCATGAACAAAGCTTCCGATAACGACGATTCTGATATTTGTAGCGATGAAAGTGATAGCTCCGATGATAGTACAACAGAAAGCTCCGATGATTCAGATTTTTAAATAAGAGTTACGGAAATATAAGAGTTATAAGATTAATTTTTTAATTTGCTTAAATGTTTAATTAATATGTAATAGACAATCAATTACTTGAATAAAATGTAATAAAATTTTTAAATAATACTTTCGCAATAAAATTTTCTTTTACTTAAGTCACCTTGGTTTTATTTTTTTATTTTTTAAATTAATATTAAATATCGACGTTCTAATTAGCAAATTATCTAACTCCATTTTAGAGAATATTTTATTTGTACGAAAAAAACAATGACTTCAAAATTTATTATCATTTTAAAAAACCATTTAATATCATTAATATCTAATAGAGATATAATTTTTAAGTTTAAATCATTCAAATAATTTGTAATTGGATTATGTCTTCATCAAAATGTTAAAAAAATCACTCTCTAAAAAATAAGGAGTTAGACAAATTGCTAACTAGACCGTCGATATATCAAATCAATATTAATTTTTTGTTGCAATTTTTAAATTTGTCATTTTGAAAAAAAATACATATTTTTTGGAGTATTTATTATAAGTCGTCTCTATTACTCCCCGGTGGTTGAGAACACTAACGTTCGACGCATGCGCAATGGCTTAAAAGCGTCGCACAGCCGACAATCGCTGTCCTCGTCTGACAAATGATGTTACGCGCTAACTCTCTTTCACTCTACCTTAAATATTTATTATCTTTAACAGCCAGTAGCCCTTATTTGCGGCCAGATTTAATTAAGCAACTTTATATGATAATTAATAGAAAAAAATTAGCTTCAATTTGACATATAATTAATAAAAATAGGTTATAAACGTATAAATTTATCGAAATCATACCTGTTTACACCTGGCTGCAAAGAGGTGCGGCCATGTGCGCAACGGCACCCGTGATTTTTTAGAATCTTCATATTAATTACCGTGATGTAGACGTTATTTTATTTAAATAATAAATGAACGAAATTTTTTACCAAAAATCAATTAAAAATAATTTAATTAAAAATAATGGCGGCCAAATTTTGATAGGCACCCTAGTAAATATATATTCTCTTAATTATAAATAAACATAAAAATTTGGTTTTAAACAAATAGTCGATGAGCGCACCAATCCTGCAGCGGGATCTTAGACCATAAGAGGCTAGGCTGTTAATTGAACGGCTTAATAAGCTAGTGGGCTGCGACATACATAGCTACTAAAAAAGGTAGGCCAAGTAAAAAAAAGTTTTGAATGAGACCAATATTGCTCTTGCTTCTATTTGTTATTTTTTTTTAATTTTTACGTAAATTATAGCTTAAGAATATTGAATTCCATCCAGGCCTTTTCCAAAAGGACGGGCTGAATTTGTTCTCAAATAAAAGATCCCTGTTGCGCTGCAAAAAAAATCAATGTTATAGTTACTGTGCAGGGGTAAGCAATATAATAATACATATTACGCATCTAACTTTCTATCAATATTCTCTCCCATATATATAATCTCATCTTCATCGTTGATATTTTTCTTAGCTTTCCAGTCACCGCAGCTCGTAGACTTAGCAGCTGGAAAAGCTTGTATGGAGTTTATTGACTCTGCGTAGCAAATAGGCGCACGGGCGTGACTGCATAGCTCTAAAAAAACGAATTAATTAATAAATCACTATTCTAGGTAAATTGTTTCATGCTACAAGATATGTCGTAGATCATAAAATTTATGGTCACTTCACGGACGAGGCCACCCGTTTCAGGAAATTATCGATTCGATTCCAAGTCTGCAATCTTGATTTAAATTCACAGAAAAGTTTGTATGTTAAGAGACGTACCTAAAAAGTTCTCACGACAGCCTGGTTGATGTCTCATGCCACAATTAAGCCAAACGTCAACATGCCCGACATTTTCTGATGTACCATATACGACAGGGTTACTATGGATACCTACTACGAAAATGGCATCAGTCTCTCTTAACGGATGTAGTAATGTAGGACTTTCATATAGGGGCCCTGCTGGGTCTAAACCGGTGATTCTGAAAGATCAGATCAGTCAATTATAAAGTCTAAATAATGGTTGGTAGGCTTACTTCCATTAAAAAAGCGATTTAGGAAACAGACGCCGAATATTTTTCTTTAAAGCACGTTATATATACTCGTATTTAATATCGTATTAATTGTATCCATTATTATGAACTAACAAAATGGCAGGTGAAACTAAGCAACGAGGATTCGATGATAGTTAAAAAAAATAAGTACCTTCCAACGGGTTTTAGTTGTTTTGTCGTTTGCCTACCAGCGTAACCCATTAGATGAGATCCAAGTGAGTGTCCTATTAAATGTACGCGCTTCAAATCCAGTCCGTGGTTTGACAATTCTAGAAGTGCATCACCCAAGGCCTCTCCAATCTACAAATTTACACAAAAATGATATCCCCGAGGAAGTAAAACCAGTTCTAAATTTCCCGACAATATTTAAATGTAGGTGTAGTTTCGATCATGTAGGTCTAAGGCTAAATTACGTCAGACGCCAGCTTTGTACACGGTAATCCAAATGATATGTCCATTAGGTAGTATTATGGACACACAAAAGGTTCTTTACGTAGTAATTATGCTAAAATATGTATGTCGTATTGTTTGAATAATATACAAAAAATAGTCTTGATATACATCAAAGTAATACTAGTATTTCGCTTACATCTTTAGGCCTACACCGCACTAGCGGCTGTGCCGCTGTGGTAGGCCGCGGTATATACGGTCTGCCGTAGCGGCATGCCGTATTCCGGGTAACCGTCCCTATTGCGGTCTGCCGCAATCGTCACTCGTCAGTGCTTCTTGAAAAATTGCACATGATGGACGTTGAAGAAGTTGCGGCAGTTATTTATTTATATAATCGTAGAAAATATCGTCAAAAAAACTCTGCATAGCGCAAGGAACAAGCGATGGATGAGGCGGGTAGGACGCGGTATTTGCGGCTAACCGCGCCGAGTGCGTAGAGTGGACGCGGCGCGCCGCATCATTCAACCAGTGCGGCATGCCGCAGCCCCTGAACAACCGGAGTGGTTGACGGTTGTCCGCAAATCAGTGCGTTGTTATCATGCGGTTTCATGTAATAATCGATGTGCGACCTACCGCAGCGGCACACCGCGCCGCATCGCGGCCAGCCGCTAGTGCGTTGTAGGCCTTAGGATTCAGTATGTCTATTGTTTCCTTTAACAGATACTGATAAAAACAAAACATTAAAAATATTATCTATATATCTCATCTTAAATAAATTAATGCTCGCAGCATTATTTATTTATTTATTTACACTTTTTATTATTATTATTTTTTTATTTAGTTATTAAGCTTACGACATATACTATAAGCTTACTTTATTTTACAAAATCTTACATCTAAAATGTGTGACAATTAAAGTAAACATAAGTTTCACAAAAAAAAATAGAAATAAAAAATAAAAAAATACAATAATAATAAAATAAAATAAAATTATAGAAGTTTGTTAGCACTTAAAGCAGAAAAAAAGAAAAATCATCAGCAAAACAGCGAATTAGGTTCGAGAAAGGCACCCCACAATGCTTTCTCTAAAACCGATCAGCCCACTACCGAATATATCCAGCTCCGGATAAGCTGTGTTCAATCCGTTAAAATCGCGAAGAATTCAAACGAGAGGTGCCTGAACTCCTAGGTTGGTTTTGGCAGAAGGAATTTGGAAAATATTGTTGATTTTAAACCTAGGGAATAATATCCTGTAAGAGGTCACTGCTCTGTATATGATTATTGAGCAATTTATGCAAGAAGGTAACACCGGCTAAAGTTCTCCGATTGTACAGTGATAACATATTAATTTTTTTTAAGTCGCACTTCGTTACCTTAAACAAAAACATACGTATATAAAAAAGCAGGTTACATATCAATTAGGCAACGGACGGCCTTATCGCTAACAAGCGATTTCTTTCAGGCAACCCTAGTATGGAACCATAAAAAAAGAATCACCTACAGAGGGTAAAGTACAAGAAGTACATAAAGTTAAAAAAAGGAACATAAAATAACATGTAACACTAACATAATATTGGTTTCTACGTGTGAAAGAAATATTCAAATAAGCTCATTAGAATTCAACTTTACCTCTTTATAATATTAGTGTTGATATACCAACTTATATATTAGTATTCGTATATCTTTACTTACTCTTTTGGCGTTGAAAATTCCTGTAGTTGGATAATGAATAATGGGCCCCGCGATTTCAGAAGTCGCTTCCTTTTCCCAATTTAGAAGTACATAGTTCATATCAGTGTTCTCTTTGAGTTGCATGTATGCCTTTGTTATAGCTATAACTGTGACTGTACGAGGCGTATTATTAAATCCAAACGCAAAAAACACCGTGTCTAACGTCACATTGAACGATGAATTTAATAGGCCTAAAGGCGATTTCAGCGGCGTTGACTTATAACTGCCATTACTGAAATCGATAAAAAATTGTTAATTACAAGAAAATGAATTAGATATTAAGGGCTTTCCTCAAGTTTCAATCAGTTATCTGAAAGTGCGGCAATGATATGAGTTAATACCTTTTAATTACTATAAAAACACATGTTAATTATCTACATTATAATTACAAAGACGTTTTTAATTTATGTAAAATATTATTGAAATGATGAAATATGACTTATTTAACATTAAGTCTCTCTTCAATATGGCCATTTTTAATATAAAAACTTCTGTCTCCCAGTATTTAGGCGTATTAATAGAACTAAAAATCAGGAACGACTTTACGAGAGCTCTTAATGCTACTTATGTATTTGAGTTGCCTGTCTATAATTATATTTATATATTTAAATTATCCTTTTACTTTTAATAACATCGATACTGTGGAGCCAAAGACAAAATAGGTAAAACTACTGATGTCATTTCATCATAGCCAGATTTTTTACAATAAGGCCTTTATTGGTAAACAAAAAAATAACAATTAATGAGAAAAAAAAATAATCACCCGTCGAAAACCCATAAGTCCGCGGACTTAATATGGACTTGGCCTGGAAAAAAAGCTTATTATTACTAAATTTCCGTGTTTGACTTATTTTTCATATATTTGCCAATTTTCTAAACTGTTTTCGTACTTTTCACACAATTGCCTAAAAGAGATGGCAATAAACTAAAATTATAGAAATAAAACCTATAATTATTTTATTAGTAAAAACATAAAAATTAAGAGAAATAAAATCTTTCTTTCTCTATATTCAATAGATATTCTCTCATAGATAATCTCACTTAATTGTTTTATCATAAATGTTCATTTGTATGTAGTGTATATGCAAGTAAAATGTAAAGATTTAATAAAAAATACAATTCAGTTTAATAATCAAGCAACTATATTTCTAACAAATGACCTACCTACCTATATTTAAAGTTTTTTACTATTTAATTTTCTTTCTCTTAAATTTCTAATTAGTAAAAGGTTTACTCACTGAGAAATATTACAAAAAAGTTGAATAAACATTGTAATGCAACGGCTGATAAAGGTCTGACAAAAAATGTGAAAACTCATATATATATATCTCAGTATATATACTCCGGTTTATGTAGTTTTTTAAATATAAAGTTACTTTACGCTTACCAATGAATGTTACCTGGCTTCACTTTACTGACATAATCATCGAACTGCCGAAAACGCAATTTTTTTGAATGAAAATAATATTTGTTAGAGCGAGTTTTTACTCTTTCCTTATTAAAAGAAATGTTTAGTGATCGCCTTCTCATATTGTGTTAAAAATCTTTCAAGTTTTTCACATTAATTAGTTGGTACTAACAAATGATATTTTTTAAAGTGATTTCAGAAGCAACTCATTTTCTAGTTCGTTCAAATAATCCTGTTCAATATGAACCGTTGCGCGTTGGTATAAAAAGTGATTTCAAAGTCAAAGTCAAATCATTTATTTCAATTAGACCATCTAAAATGGCACTTTTGAACGTCAAAAAAAAAATACAAAAAAGATTCTAGTTGCCCCTTCCAAAAGGTAGTTTCGTGTGGAGAAGAATGGGCAAGAAACTCCACACTTACTTTTTTAAAATAGGTTTACAATATTTTGTTACATTTGTTAAATAATTATATGTGAAGACAATGACAAAGAGTACACTCTTAGAATAAACTACTATACTAAAAAAGTTAGTATACATGTTCCTCACAATATATTTACAAATATCGAAACCGTAGAATATTAACATTAAAGAGTAATAAAAATATTAAAAAAAACACAACAAAACAGTGTGTGAGATACAAAAAAAAAAAATTACATTTGTAGCATTATAAATTAAAAAATAATAATGATAATAACAATTTTAATTTGGTCTTCCTAATTGAATGTTTAAATAGGGATTATAGAAATATGTCATATGGGACCTTCACAGAGGATAAACATTTCATATGGTTTTTTTAAAATTAATAATACTCGACTGCCATTGTGTCCAGTGACTTTTTATAATTTTTCCGAAAAACAAGATACATTATATGAATTCCAATACACTGGTTCACGAATGGTGTGTTAGGCGTCTCGCGAAATATGCCCCGGCTACATCGGTAATATTATTATTTACAAAATTCATGGGCGAGCCGGGGCGCTATTACTCGCGAGACCCGCTCTTTCAGTTTTGTTTGCCGCCTTTTTATATTTAATAATTTTTTCGCAGAACCATTCCAGGCATGGTCTGTGCTTTGTTAACATGTCCTGTAGACCGTTACGGTCTACAGTCATCTGCATTTGATGCTCCAGGTCGTGCCTGGACGTTGCAAATAAAGGGCAATGTAGAATTTCATTACTGCAGGCACATGTTGATTATTAATACTTATCAATATCATTATTATTTTATGAAGTAACTTAATTACCTTTTTTTTTATTTTTTTTTTATTAGGGCACAGAACCAATACATTTTTTGCTGACACCCAGTTGGCTATTATAGAAAGTGTGGACATAAGTTAGCAATTATGATAATAATGAATTTGTTTTATTATTTGGAAATCGTTACAATATTTATGGTGGTATTCTATATACATAATTACAACAAATTTTAGTTCTGGTTTTTAATAAGCCTCAGTATCATTAATTAATATAGAAGGACTGGCAAAGTTAAATTATGGGATTTAGGCAGCTTAATTACTCAATAATTAATTTACAAAGAAGTTTCACTTCTGACATGTATACTTTGTACGCGCGCAATTTTTTTAATAAAAATGTGCCAGCGTGCCTAAACTTTCTGGAAATCAATTATTATTAGATCCTGGCATGAAAGGCTAATAGAACTTTGTCTGTAGCATCGATACGACTGTTTTTTATAACGATTATTATTAATAAAGCTGTTTTTTTAACATAAAATTTATAAAACCATGTAAGTATAACCGATTTCAAAACAGAGCTCTTTTGTATTAAAACGTTAAATGAACGAGAGGGTATAGAAGAAACAAAACATATAGACCGGTGGCTATATTATCGACTCCCGCTAAAATATTCGAAGGAGCTCTGCACCGAAGCATTTTAAAACAGGTAGAACTGTACTTGTCAGACTGCCAGCATGGCTTTAGGGCCATGCGTAGTACACGCAGCAATTTACTAAACGCAATGAATTATGTTATTCCTATTATGGACGCCGGATTGCAGGTAGATGCTGCATACTTTGATTACAGGAAGGCGTTTGATGTCGTGGATAATGACATACTGTTGGCGAAATTGGCCAGTATTGGATTCACTCCAAAACTATTAAATTTTTTTTGCAAATTATCTGAGAGATCGCCAGCAGTATGTAGATTACAAAGGATGTCAGTCGGAACCATACTACACTAAATCAGGCGTGAGTCAGGGCAGCAATCTAGGGCCATTGCAGTTTGCAATAATGGTGAATGATTTACCAGAAGTATTAAGACATGCTAGATGCCTTCTTTTTGCAGACGATCTAAAATTGCTCCTGTCAATCCAAGAGGTGGACGACTGTGAACGCTTGCAAGGAGATATCGATAGAGTATGTGAGTGGAGCAATAAAAATAAGCTCCAATTAAATATTGACAAATGTGCCATGGTGACATTTAGTCGTGCCAAAATGCCTCGTCATCATGAGTACAATGTGTCGGGAGTGATACTCAAGCGGGAAACGTCAGTAAGAGACTTAGGAGTGCGAGTGGATGCCCAACTGAATTTCCGAAATCATGTAGTGGACATTTGTAAGAAAGCATACGCAAGAATGGGATTTGTGCTTCGAAGGGCAACAACGTTCACTAATATTAAAGCCATCTCAAGCTTGTACAACGCGCTAGTAAGAAGCATGTTAGAGTGTAACTCGTCTGTTTGGGCTCCGCCGACACGATACCTATATAGCAGACTGTATGGCGTCTATCCCTACTATCCTTTAATGTACCCGACATTATTTGTCTTAGGGATGGTGGGGTACAATAAATTGGAAACCAGACGGGACTTACAGTTGGCCTACTACGTACTGAAAGTCTTGAGGGGTGTAGTGTGCAACCCATGTGTACTCCAAGAACTGGGTCTCTTCGTACCTATGGGATATGTGCGACGGCGAAGGCCTAGGTTATTTGCGATACCAAGGGCAAGAACCAGTCTGTTGCACAGATCCCCGTTATCAAAGACGTTGCGCCTACTGAATGCTGTCTCCGACACTATCGACATATTTATATGTTCGCAGAGTGAATTCACAGTAGCGATGTTGTGTGTTTAATATTATATGTGTACCTACTTTATTATATTTTTTTGATTTAATGTTTCACGGCATTATCGTATTAGCATAGTCTGTAAGGATAATGTATGTATTTCTATAATAAATAAATAAATAAATAAATAAATAAAAACGTTAATATAATTTCCGGGCTAATTTACATACGAGTTAATCACTTCTCTTTAGTTATAATTGTTTTTTTTTAGCAATTATTTAGATGTTTTGCTTATTATTCACATTTTTTTTCTCTAGCTAATGTTATTATAGGAAGACTCGCAACATCGATTCTGTGTAAAACAAAGGTGATGTAGGGGAATTAACCTAAGAATGTATTATTAGGTAAGTAGTTAAGGTAAAACATGATAAATTACTTGAATCATTAAAATCTAAACATATCGCAATTAAACGGAAAAATATCGTTATAGAACCTATTTCTCTTAATTAGGTCGGATGGTAATCTTCGTTTGCAGGCACTTTTCTTAATTAACTACGATATAAGTATTCTTACCCTTGATAACACCGTAGCATTGCCATTTCACTCAACGGTATAAAACCTAAAAATAATGTATAATTAATAATATGTTTTTAGTCTGTTGCAATTTTTACAATTACAGGAATGACAAGGAGGTCAACAACGATTCTGCAATTTGGTTCGATACAACTTAGGGACCTTCGAAAAAAAACTTTTGGATTGAATTAATTATATAATTTGGTCAAGTTTAACTGCGCTCAATAATTGATTACCTCCCTAGCTCTAATTCGCATCTCCAAAGCTGATGATGAAGATGTCTCGTTTCTTAGAGTAATAGTAGGAAGGCCCAAAAAATTCCACCCTTGTTAAAAAAATATGTCACTTTCAGAACATTATCTTAAAGAATTTCACTTGTATATTCAGTCTATAAGTCACTATAAGGTGATGTTTCTAAATGTGATGCTGTGATGCTTATAGTTAGTACATTGTGGTTTAATTTAAATAAACAAACGATTCAATTGTTTTTTTGCAAAAAAAAAAAAAATATCAAATTATCAGTTATGGATATTTTGATATAATAAAGCATTGGTACATCACATTTGTAACAGATTAAAGTTGTAAAAATACTGACCAGGAACCAGTACGAATGTCCATATTTTGTTCCACATTCTTCACTAAACACGCGTGTCAAGCCAGACGTACTGAATGATAATAAACTCGGCCTATATCGAGTGGTGCTGAATGCAAAGTTTTTACACCACGAGACGTGATACGTATTTTAATTGCAGCAGCCCTTTGGACGAGAATCCTTCAGTCTTCCATTTTATTTGAATAAGGCGGAAATTTGTCGAAAAAAAAATTATCATTTTTTACCTAAAACGACACATCAAGGCTTAGTTAACAGCGGTTAAAGCTAAGAGATACGTTTGAATCCCGTCTAAACAATAATTGTTTTCCTTGAGTAATGCTATCTGATCGCCTATTAAAAAAAAAATTCATGGATGACCAATTGTGTCTTTCCCGTGCTCCTTTACAGCTCCTAGAGTTACTTACATTGTATCCCACAAAATTGCAAGAGTCAGCTCCAGTTTAAAACATATATTTGCGAACGAATTTTAGTATGCGGTTACAAAAATTACAAAAGTTAAATTTTTTTTCTACTACAAATTTCATAGTTGTATGAAGTATGGTTATTATTGGTTCTGCTTATAAAATCTAATATGCTTGTTTTATTTTGTAAGATTAGCAGAGACAAAGAAATTAGAAGATAAGTGTATTATGTAATAGTGAATTTCGCCTAATTATGAACTGTGTCAGTAAAACAGAAATTACATAATTTGAAAATTAGAACTTTTAAGACTAATATCTATTTATACCTGTACTCAATTGGATTCGCAGTTCATTAGTGGGATCATAAAGTGGAAGTAAATGGGAGATGCTATGTACACATCTTTTAGAGTTCTTTGATTTATTTATCCGGTGATTCATACATCTGTGAGTGTTCATGGGCATATAAAAAAATATTATCCCCAAAATGAATCAGACCAAAAAAGAAAAAAAAATGATTTAGAAATGCACCTAGGCTGTATTTATTAGTTGTAATAAAAAGTCGCGGCTATACTTCTACACTATGTTTACATACACTGACAGACTCCATTCTGCAATGGAAAAGCCAGTGGGAAGACAAATTTCTTAAAATATCATTAGTATGATATTAAACGTATAATATTATGCAGAAAAACAATAACTAACCTTAAAATATAATAACTAAAATATATTATTAAGGTTCCGAAGATTCTGGACAGCGTTCCCCCTTTGAATAGCTAGACTAAATCTTTGTCCGAGGTAGCTACCAGCTCTTTGGTCTCCTGTGATCTTTTTGCTATTTCCTTAAAAACCCTATAGCGCTAGGACCCCAAGGACCCTTTTTCTTCAAGGGTCTCGATACCGAATGGGAGAAAATCATATTCGGAGCCTAGACCCCTGCATGCTTTAGCTTTTTCAGCCGCTTCTTCATTTTTTTCTTCGCTTTATTCAATTTATGTTGTTGGTATATTAATTAGAATTATGTTCATGTATATACTATGCTCGGTGAGTAGCTTCGTCTCCAAGTCTCATTTTGACGGAATTATGACGGTCTTAATTTAAACTTAATTTTAGGGCTAATTCAATTTGATATTTGAGCCAGTATTAATACATATATATATTATAACATATGATATATCATAAATAGTAAATACTTAAGCTACTACACAGCGTTCATCTAGGAGTATGTCTAAGGTTTTAAGTAATCTATCCTTTTCCCGCATTATAAATGATAACGTAGTAATAAATATTTAAGCAAAAACTGTTTAAACTATAAAAATTCAAATTCAAAATTCAAAAATCATTTATTCACGTAGGTAACACAATGTACACTTGTGATTCGTCATTAAAGAAATAAATATTAATGCTTCTAATTTTACATTAACTGCCAGTTCTCAAATCAAGGGCGTAGAACGGAAGAGAAGAACTGGCAATAAACTCTCCGCCACTCTTTTTAATCGCCATGTTTTTTTTTTTTTTTTACACAACGTTTGTAAGGAGCTGCAACCATTACACCATGTTCCACATGACATTTTAAGTAATTATTAATAATAACATAAATAAAAACAAAGACTTGTCCCCTATCAGCAGGAGGCATGGTGAAATAGGAGCACGCACTTACATTCTCGTGGGAACAACACGCAAACACATAGTCGAAATAATTAACATCACCGCATACACGAATTCAAGTACGACCAGTCACCACAAGTAGCACCCGTTCACGAGTATGACGCATGGCCAGCCATCGGCCCCCTCGCCATATTTTAGGGAGAGAGACAACCCGACGCATGGACGCCGCCACAAGCAATGACATATAAACAATGTGGATCAAGGTAATGCCAAAAAATTGTCAATGTAAAGAGTATTAAAGCAATAAGGTTTTTATATAATGATAAACAGTGCGTATAACCGTTTGACTTATGAGTCGAGTAGAGTACGAGTTGGGTACGCTTAAAAGTGTTATTTTTTAAGCATTTTGATTTCAATAAAAAAGGATTGACAAGACCAATGTACCAGTTTACATTTTAGTACAAAAAAGTAGAAGTATGTGCAGCCTCCATGGTTAAGTTCGTCAAGGCAATTATTCAATGACAACCCGGAGGTCCACGTTTCATTTCCATAGGTCACCCAGAAAATGTTTGCTTTGTGTCTAGCTAGTCCCACATCTATTTTTATAAGCATTCGTCCGAAAATAAGTTTTAAGCCAGAATGGATCCTGTAATCTAATTTAAATAAATTATTATGTATAACAGACCGACCTGCTCTATTAACAAACTTTAAAGTGAACCCTTAACGGAATTTAATAATAATATTAGTTTTGAAATAGGTAAGTAAATTCATATTGTATTTTTTTAAATAGCGGAGTAAGACTGAGTAGGCAAGGAGATTGAAATTTTTTTTTTGCTTATAGAACGTATATTATTTTCAAGTTATAATCGTTTGTAACAGCCATCTTAGCCCATGCGGGCAGCCCAGATCTTTATCAGATGAAGCATGATGAAGATATGGTCAGTTTTAATAATAGATTATTTCCTTTTGGGGAAATGGTTCAGCCCCAATTCATCAGATTCGATATATAATATTTTAATTAACACAATATACATATTTATAATCTAAAACGGCTCTTAAAGATCTGCTCGTCTTATTAATTTTTAGATACATATTATGATTATGATTTACTTGAATTAATGTCTTAAGATCCCAGGTTGGGACAGAGGGCGTCTACGGTGAGTCTCTATCGCGTTCGGTCTTGAGCTTCGCATTTTACCTTGAAGTCTTTCTGGCTATCTTTGCCTCATCTGCAACTGAACGTCGCCAGGTTTGCTTGGGACGGTCAGGCTTCTGGGTTCCTATCAAGCCTAGCGCCTGCTTGGGGAGGTGATATAGAATATCTTCGGAATGAAAGGCCTATCGAGTTACACTTGCCTCGTTAGATCTGCTGGCTTTTCGGGGTTTTTCGGCAGCGCCAAAGTGGCTCGTTGGAGTTCTTCTCGGACTAGTAGATACTCAGAATATGGCGGAGACAGCGGTTGACGAAGACTTGGAGCCGGAGCGAGATGTCGTAAGTGATTTATACAAAAGATAAATCGTTTATACGTTAAAACGTTTAAACGATAAGATAAATCAAATCTATTTTAAGCGTTCGAGTCTACCTCTTCGAGCGATTCTCTCATCTGCTCACATATATAGCAGTCTGGTAGGTAGAATCCTTAGATTTTATTTTATAACGTTAAGATAAATCAAATCTATGTTAAGCGTTCAAGTTTACCTCTTCCAGCGATTCTCTCATCTGCTCATATATATAGCAGTCTGGTAGGTAGAATCCTTAGATTTTATTCTATAAACTAAAATATTGCGAATTTAACAGATGCAAGAAACGCGTGGTGGCAATCCGACAGAGGCTTGAGTTTGCCTTCTACCGTAAACTCTCAAAGGACCTGGGATCCTCTTTGTAAATCTGAATTCCAAAACTTATTTGGTCACAACTTAGCACGGCCGCACGTGGTTGGTGGCGGTGAGGTCTAGGGACGCCGGTCATTGGCTTAATGCTTATTTTCGCCAAATATTGGCACTCTATTGGTCCTGAGTCAACTCGAATTGCCATCAGCCTTTGCTTAAGAGTGCCCATAAGTACCCCTATAATAAGTGTAGTGGCTTTGACGTAAGTAGCCTTGGATACCATGGCCTCCAAAAGAGTCGTTTTTCTAGCCATTTTGGAGCCAACAGGCATCGCTACAGACGATGACAAGTGGACGGATGGGAGATTTTTGATCCTTTGGTTGATGGGACAGGTTTTGGTATGGGAGATAATCCCCGTCTCACGGTCGAAGACAAAAGCTGCCGCGGCCGCAGACCAGGCCAAAATGATAAATGATAAATCGATATTGTTCCCCTTTTCACACTTAGGCCTTGGGGTTCCAGTGCATAGGTGCTAATTAAAGATTTTACTTAGCGACTGGTAAATAGTACCGATGATCTCAAAGCTGGTGCTATTCTCACTAAAAAAATAAGTATCGCAACACAGCGAGGAAATGTTGCCAGCATTAAGGGGACACTGCCTCAAGGGCCAACTTTTTGTGTTTTAATATTCTTTTTATCTATTTAAATTATTATTATTACTATGTAGCTTAAGAATATTGTAATTAAATTAAATTATCATAATATAATAATAATTATGTGATTGTGTACTTCCTTTAATATTTTTTGCGATAGTTATTCTTCGTGGCGCATTAATTTTAGAAAAAAAAATATGTCACGTGTCGTCGCTATGACTTTTTCAAAGGCGTTTGATGTTAAGTTTTGCCTTTGACAAAAGCAACATCACACAAAACAACAAATCATACAATACAAATTAGAATAATGCCATTGTTTTTGCTGTTTTAGCTAATGAACTCATTCGTATATTTCCATCAAATTGTGCTGTAACATCCATTAGAGATATATTGCTTCCATATAAAAACGTCGGATTCGCTTTTGGAAGTTAGAGGTTAGGTTTGATATTAGGTCCTTACATATGAAATTGGCGTTTTGTATGGGAGGAACAAAAAGTCGAATATTTTTAAATATAATATATTTAATTAAT